TAGTAGGTTGGAGGCCATCGCTACCAGGTTGGAGGAAATCTTAGTATTTGCAGGCGTCGGCGCTCCTTTGGTCTACCACTTCCCTTCTTCCCTCGCTGGCGGCTTCTCCCACGGACTCCTCAGCGCTGCCAGCGACCTCCATGCGGCCATTGGGGCGCAAGACGCCCAGGAGTATGTGGCGAAGGCCGTGCGCTTGGCGACGGAGCCAGAAGTTCGGAGAAAGGCCGGAAGAAGGGGTGATGTGGATGCGCGGCGCGTGGGTAGAGTAGAAGAATGAAGAATGCATACAGGATTTGTTTGTACATTTTTCACAGATTGACAGTGACATAACCGTGTGTCAGGGCCAGTGTTGGAGAAAGGCGAAAAGGTGGTTGACAGAGTGTGCCATGCCGTGCTTGTTTCAATTTTGGCTTACTCGAGTGTGCCATGCCATCTCCTTCCGGTTAGCAGGGCCAAGAGATCAAAACAGTCTCTGTTTTCACATCGCAGTGGCTGCTCCCGATGTGTTCCATGCAGCGCGCCCGGAACGCGCGGAACAACGGCGCAGGTGGTGGAGCTGCTTCGGGCCAACGCGACAGCGGAACGGGTCTTCGGGCGGCGGGACTGGGCGCGTTCCTGGGCGGAGCTTTTTGCTGTTTGGCCACTGGAGGATGGCGAGGATGGCGAGGATGGCGAGGATGGCTGGGCGGCGATGCTTGGTATGGAAGATGGGTGAGGGGAAAGGGGAATGACATGGATGAGGGAGCGAGTGAGCATTTCTGGGCTGGAAGGGTGTGTAGGAAGTGTGAGTTTTCATTGCTGGGAAAGAGTGTGACATGATTGGACGGTGGGTCACAAACATTTGGGTTGTCCAGCTCAAATGACTGGTTTGTTTAGCACAGACCATGTCACTGCCATGTCTAGCGGCTAGATCAAATCATTTGCAACCCATGTTGCAGACCAGAGGAGCACACGCGTGGTGCGAAGATCTTGGCGGTGGTACTTCGCAGGGGATTTTTGATACCAAAATTAGGAGAACTCAGGCAGCTCACTGAGCTTTCTTTGTCACCCACCAGGCTGCTGCGATTTGGGATGCACCATGAGCATCCTAACATAGATCACCACCTTATTCATAGTCATATGAATATGCTCCGCTGTGTTTGTTTTATATTTGATCCGTGGCTAGACATGACCCTGCGAAGACTTGCTGAGTTCAGTAAAGCGACATGGACAAAGAACCATGAACTGGAAGGCCTTCGATGGTGGAGGAACCCCAACTGACTGAAACATCAACCCAGATGGATCAGCCTGTAGTAGATGCACATAGCTGTCGCCCCAACCGGAACTTGCAACACAAGCCGCATGTTCTTTCCTTTTGGAGCCACACCCAGGTATTTGCAGCAGCCGGATCGATACATCTGGAGCCTCTTTCCAGTCGTGGTACCACCACGTGGACGCTTCAATCTAACAGTCACTCGATTCGGTTTCGGCGCTTCCCCCGCGGGGGAACCCGCGCGACACACCCAGCTGAACACATCCAACGAATGGAACCACGCGGCTTTTGGAGGCACAAATATAACCTAGATTTGGTGGCTTTTGGTGGTGAATTCACGCCATGTTTGCGCCAGAATTCTGGATATTGGCTTAGGATGGCTTAGGGTTAGTCTTAGGGTTATATTATATCTTCTGAATGAATTCTTTTCATGTGCAAGAAAACCGAAGGAAAGACAGATGCTTGCGAGATCACGGCGACGATTGGGGTGCGAAGATTGGCTTGACCTTGGATTTCAGCAAAAAAGCAACAACACCGGGCGATCCAGGTTGTTTAATCCATCAGTATTTTGTTGTAAAGCGACCTGTGATCAACCATGATTTCCATGTTGAGCTGGATTGATCATCCAGTCACTGCTGATTGATCAACCATCATCAATCCATCATGTGGAGCTGGAGTTCCTTCTGCGATGCTCCGAATTCATCCTCTTAAAAGATTGGCGCAGAGCATGCTCCTAGGCGTCCTAGCTTCTTACTGCTGATCTCCCAACTCTTAAAGGACCTTGGCATCCAGAATACTGATTACTTGCATGCCCTCTGAGCTGTTTCACGCACCGCTGCCTCCGATTTTGCACCTTTAACAGGACGACGCAGCGAGCTTCGGCGCTTGCGCGGCCGGCGATGGCTTCGCCGAAGCCGCCACTGAACAGCACCGGTCTTTGTGGCCTCTACACCAAGCAGGATCTGCGTTCGAGGCGTTGGGAATCACTCCTGGGAAACTTTGGAGCATGTTCTTTTTTCCCCAGATAGCTGGAAGCTATAGGGGTTCTTACTTCTCAATGGATGGGTTCCGGATTGCGCAAATTGGCTGCCGCTGCCGCCTTGTTTCTCAAGCTTGTCTGTCTCCCTTCATGATTTCGCTCTTGGCTGCCGCTGCCGGCTTGTCTCCCAAGCTTGTCTCCCTTCATGATTTCGCTCTTGGCTGCCGCTGCCGGCTTGTCTCCCAAGCTTGTCTCCCTCCGGCTTGTCTCCCTTCATAACTTCGCTCTTGGCTGCCGCTGCCGGCTTGTCTCCCAAGCTTGTCTCCCTTCATGATTTCGCTCTTGGCTGCCGCTGCCGTCGTGTTTCCCAAGCTTGTCTCCGTTCCTGATTTCTTTCTTGGCTGCCGCTGCCGCCTTGTTATTTTCTTGCCTGCCTTTGACGCGGACGCTGTTATAAGATGATTTAGGTCTTGTTTACCTTTCTCATCCTTTTCCCGGCTTTGAGTGGGATGTCTCCCAAGCTTGTCTCCCGCTCTTGCCATGGTGTCCAACTTTCTTGAAGTGCTATCTGGGGTCTATGCCGGTATAATTTTGTTTTTCGGTGGTGCAAGGGCAGGGTGGGAGGAAACCCGCGCAGAGAGCATGGTTCTTTCATGTTCTTTCCTTTGTCCGTCTACTTATTGATCTTCAGATGAGATCAGACCTGCAGAAGCCCCAGATTTGCTGCAATGTTTTTGGCTTTTTGCTGGAGAAGCTCTCAGCTTCAGCTTCTTGAGCTTGCTGGGCCTCAGTCCAGCTTGTGCGAAGCTCGTTGCTGAGAAGAGAGCTTTGGACCATTGAACATAGGATCCGATATGGGCAGAACAAACATCATTTCCGAGAATATGAGTTGCATGAAGATGTTGTCACCATATGTCACCCAACTCCGGCATTTGTTTTTGGCACAAACACCTAGGTTTGGAAAGCATTTTGCCATGACTGGGCGGTCATTGCAATCGGAACGTCGGAACTGAAAAGAGTGTGTTGGGACTCAGACCTCTACAACAAGTTTGCGGGTTAAACAGTTGACGTATTTGGACTCCTAATCAGAACTGAAAAGAAGCCTTTCACAGGTCCCCCAAGAAAGGCCCCTCATCCACCTACTCGTAGCACAGTATCCGCACACTTTCCAATTTAGTGCAGCAAATCTACACTTGATTAGCGTCCTTCCGCGCCCTTCCTTCAATGTGTCAGCTTCCCAGCCCAATCCTTTCTTCTTTTGTATTCTGATCGATAGAGACGGTACAAAAAGGGCGTTCCACCCGTTGGTTCAGGCAGTCACCAGCTTCGCACCAGACCTGGCCGGTTACGGAGGCGACCTAATTCCGCTCCTGGGCAGAGAGGGAAGCTGAGAAGCCACTGAAGAGAATACCTAGGTTCCAAGTTCACAAGTAGTGAAAGACATCAGAGGACCGAGCATTAGAGGATTGGATAGACTTTGGGGCTGCACAACAGAGCTTCTCTTGTAGAAGGTTGGATTCAACAATTTATCAGTTGGTGACCGGTTGGAGGGTGCTGTGTAGAATTGTAGAAGCAAGATGAAGCAAGCAGTTTCCAAATGAGGCCGAGTTGTGGAGGAATTGCCGCTGGAACTGAAAATTGAATCTCCGATGTCTTTGGTGATTGTTTGTCCAGAGCTTGCCCTGAAAGAAGGTGGAGAAGACCCTCTCTGAAAGCTCAGTGCCCCTGTGTGCGGATGGGTAAACAAATGGCAGTCTCCATTCTTTGGCTTCAACAGATGATCTGAGCTTGTACAACTTTGAACGGACAGCATCTTCGTTGCGCTCTCTCTCTCTATATATATATACTATCCAGCTCGAAGATATGCTGTTTTCAAGGCCATTGCCATTCTTGCAAAAGCGCTGGGTAAGTGAAGGCCTTCACAGTAATACAGTATACAGTTGATCCATACAGTTTCCCCACCGCATTATTTCGCTTTCAACATCCCGGTGACCAACGCCGCATGGTCCACTCATCTCCGAACGACACGAGGTCCTTCTGCTGTGCGGCGGTGTCCCTCGCGGAGATTGGGGAGGTCATGCCGCAGCTGGAAGGCATGTTCAAGTCCATGGAGACGCAAATGAACAGCAACTTGGTAGCACAGAAGTCACCCTGTTGCCATCAAGCACCAGAGAAAGCCCCCAACTTTCTTTGGATTTGGTTTGTCCTTTGTAGTATATTTTTGGAGTCGGATTTGTAGTTTCAGATCATTTTGCGGCTTCAACGGGTGATTCTTCGTGGTGCAAGGACTTGATCTACACTGTTTTGAGAGCTCCCGTTTGTATGGCATAAACGATAGCTTCGTTTGGATTCCGAAAAGAAACAGTCTCCGAGTAAGCAACGTCAACGAGTCATATAGGCTACAAAGGATCAATACGGTACAATTCTTTGCGTTCTTTAGATGTTTTTGAGCTTCGAGGCTTTTTGTAAGTATGGTTCAGGATTGGTCAAAAAACAAGCTGTTCAGGACCTGTCGCCAGTGCCTGGTCTTTCTTGTGGATCAGTGATCCAAGTGAGTCATCAAAAGACTTTGGTTCTTCGAGTGGTTGCTGATTTGGGATTCCAAGGCGGCTGGCACTTGGGCTTGGCCTTGCATCGCAATGCCTCTTGGCAGCTTGAGGGATGACCATCAGGCGGAGCGCCCCAAATGGTTGGATCAGACTGCTTCAGACATAGAGATACTGTGACAACCAGGAAGATTCTGATAGTTTTTTGTGTCTCAACTCATTGGTGTTTAGTCCCGATAATGGGCACCCCTAACCTCCATGGATCGCAGCCCCTTTGGAACTGCTGACTGCTGGATCTATTTTTTGGGGAACTTTTCCTGTAACCAGTAAATGACTGGATGATGCCTGTGTTCCAGACCAGCGAGGACCAGACAAATAGCAAGGAAAATACTAGTGGCATTTCGGTTTTCATTTCTGTTTGCTCGTCCAACATGTCCTTGCTGAGATCAACATGAAGCAGTCGAACTAGTCGAATGAGCATGTCTGGTTTCGGCCGGTGACGGCTGGTTGTGGCTGGATGGGATGGAGAGTAGCGTTCCACCAGGTGGACCGATGTGGTTCCTCCCCCTGGGCCGAAAAGCGAATTGGAGTCCTATATCAATGGGGGGGTGAGAGCCATCGTCCGGCTATTTTTCTTGGTTGCTGAGCATTTAGATATACCTCGCATTACCTAAGTTAGGCTTGCATGAATTTCAGTGGTTAGTGAGGACCATCGCTCAAAACGGACAGCACATCACAAGAGTTGATGCATGAAATTGGATCGATCATTGCATCACTCGTCACTCAGGTGGTTCCAGGGTCCGCACGTCGTGCGACCTCTGCCCTCTACCTACTCACACCGCACGCTCTGCGCTTAGCCGCCATCTCGGTGGAATTCTGCTTTGCCCAGACGCCCACGTTACTTGGAGGTTCTGTTGTGGCAGGGAGCGGTTGGGACGAGACATGGTACTGGGTTCTGCATGCAGAAACCATCGAGTTGCGAGTCGCGGCGATGGGCTCCAACGAGCATGATTTTTACTAGACCACTGGGTTCTGCGGGGGGGTTTGATGATAGGGAAGTGATTCGAACACCAAAAGCTTTTATACATTTTTAAAGACACTCTCTGCCATGTCAGTTTCTCGGCTCTTCTCGACTCAATCCCACTAATCACTGATGAGTATTTCATGATCCTGCCGGTCTCATCTGCTCTACTTGTCAGAGACAATCGCAGCTTTCAGAAACGTTCAGGGGAGTCCCCCTATCGGCCGTCAACTGCCATGCAGTCCTAGCAGGTGTCCCCTTTTCGTCGTCCCGTTGTTGGGTCCCCTTCTAAAAGGGCGGAAACCCAAGCTCTTGTTCATTCACCCTCTGGTCATCTTAGGAGGTCGGACATGAGCGAACATGTGTCACTAGAACTCGCCGATCGTCACTGCCGATTGGACAACGGCGCCGTAGCAGGTTCAAGCTGGAGCATCCTGTGACCTGGCGAGTGTAAGGAATGGATGGTTTGGTGAACTTCAACGATTGCAGATCTATCTCACGACTGACCTATATTGACCCTCTTCAATGGAGCTGGGAGTAGGAGAACATTGGCCCATAATGATCCAGATCATTTTCAGATTGTTTTCCACGGCTGTACGGGGCTGAGATGAGGCTGAGAAGTGGGGAAGGTCTGCTCCATTCAATTCTTCAGGGTGCATGCAGGAGTCTTAGGGGCTGTACTCATGCTGTTTTGCTCATCAAGTCGATTTTGGAATGTACTGGAAAGTTCCCATTCTTTGTCCCAATCATCTCGGGCCTCGGTTGGTGATTATTTGCGGCTAAGTTGCTACGGTGGAGGCAAGTAGATGAGGTGCTTAACCTCCCAAGCCTGCCAAGAAGAGAAGGCTGTCAGAAGTTGACCACCAACCCTGTATATAATCAATCAAATTAGCATTCTGATCAGAAACAATCCAGCCAACAACGTCCAATCACCTCAGGTTTGACCCACTTCTTGGGACCTTTTGATCTGTTATAGCTTGTACGGGAGAGTGCACATTTTGGTGTACAAAGGCCCCAGACTCACCTTCTGCTTTCTGTGTAAGTCCTCCCCCATGGCCAAGTCAGAACCCCAGTGGCCTCCGAGTCTTTGATCGGGAGTCGGAACCCAAGTGGCTGGAGGTGTTCCGTGGTCGGGGTTTGGCAGCCTGTCAAGAGCCGCCCAGCAGACTCTGGGTGGCCAAAGATACGACCCTTGGCATGAAGGGTGGTGATACAGCGAGGGGGTTGAGAGAGCAGGGCGGACATTGTAGAGCAGTTCGATGACTTTTTGGTGTACGGAGGGTTACAAACTTGATCAGATTTGCTGTCGCTTGCAAGGCCTGTGAAAAGGGCAGGCTTATTGTATTCATCAAGTGCCCTTTGCGTTTCGATGATTGCCTTCCCACCATGTCCCAACCTAAAAGCAAGCAAAACGGGCCGTCTGGAATCATTGAAAGCTCCGAACAAGCTGTGGTCCTAAAGCATTGAAGCCTTGGGGTCTTGGCCCAGGTCACTTGGGTCGTCAATATTTTTCTAACTGAACTTTTATGAATTGGAGCAGGGACACCTTCGTAGGACTCCTCCTGGGAGTCCCCGACCCCAAAACCAGTGCCCAGGCCAGCCAACAGCCTCCCCCGAGCCCCTCCCGCGACGTTTCGGCTGAGCCTGCGGTGGGGTTGGCGGATTAGGATGGGTCAACTCGAGTTGAAATTTGCTTGGCAGCACTTCGGCACGACGCTCCCAGCCCCTTGGCGGGAGCTCAGACGCGCTTTTTGGAACCGAGAGAAACAAGAGGTGGAACAGGGAGGAAACAAGGGTGGAAGCGTTTTCTTAGCAAAGGCTCTTGGGTTGAAAGTTCTCTGCCCCCGTTGTCTGATTTGTAATTACGGGGTTCTTTGATGGTGTTTGTCGGACCTGCTTCTACAAGAAGGAGCTGCTAAACACAGGTGCAGCGGCCGGTTGCCATGCCGCATGCCATGATGTGCCTCGAGAAAACAACAAGCTTGGAAAAAAAGAACAACTTTTTCGCAACTTTTTCGGGCGATCACGCAGGACGGCAGTTGGTCATGGTGACCTCTGCAGACAGCAGCGCGTACTTGAGGTGGTCAACCGGCGAAATGCATCCAAAGCCACCATCTGATCATGGTACCTCCTCGATTGCATGGTAGTCTCTGTAGCGACGAAAGGTCCCCTTCCATCGCATCATCCACTCATCGACTGCCTGAGATCGCACGGTCGAAATGCGAACAAACAGGCATGGTTGCCAGAAATTAATGGCATGGCTTTCGGGTCTTTGCAACATCAATGGTAGCGGAGCTTGGCATGCTGCTGCAATTTTGTTCAGCCAAGTCAAAAATGATCTGACTCTTTTGGTAAAGGAGTGCTTGGGGCAAGTGTCGTGGCCTTGCCATCCATGACTATTTTTGTTGTACCACGGACCTACGGAACCTACATGTAAACAAATGTCAATGAACAGCTGTTGCCAACACCATCTCCGGACTGGCAGCCCTGCGGTGTGCAAATCTTGTATCCAGTGACATACACGCGGCCATTCGGGTATCCACAGGTATTTTGCGGCTTCGGGCAAATCTAACGGAAGGGTCCATGGTGTTTGCTCAACCTGCATTGGTGGTGCAAAACCATGCTCCAGGATGTCAGCTGGAGCTGGTTTGTGTTTTTCTACTACTTGCATGGCCAGACGGCCTGTTTCAATCAGCACTTTATGCAGCACGTCTCTGAGTTCCTCGAGGTGACGAGTTTCTTCTTTCAGTCTCAACCATTGCTGATGTGTGTGCGGGTAGGCCAGGAAAGCCTGTTCCGCACATCTGTCCGCTGCATTATTTCCCTCCCAAGCCCACAGCTCAACTGGGTCTGCAAACCCTCTGGGATCTTGATGACTGCACACTTTCACTACCGCTCGGCACAGATGCTTGACCTGAAACATCAAGAGTTGGACTTCATGAACTAACTCATGATTCAAGATGCGATTGGATTGACTCAGTTCAGCCTCTGTGCTTGCATGAGCGGCTGCATGAAGGACATGGTATACATGATAATTATCTATCCAAATGCGAAAATGTGAACGTCTAGAGTGGATAAAAAGGAGGGCTGCTTTGGCCGCATACAACTCTGCTCTGGAGATGGTCTGCACTAAGCCCGGGACCAGGCCATTTGCCAATGGAAGAAACGGGCCATCCATGGACATGGAAACGGCGACACCCCACGCTGCCCATCGCAGCAACTTGTGCGCCGGCATCTTGCTACTACCATCTGTGAAAATGTCACAAGTGTCCGTTGGCACGATGGCTTCATCGAAAACCGAGGTCTCATCACGCAAATTACATATGTGCGATTGCCATGCATGGAGACCACTGGGTCGTGGGATCCACCCATGATTCCATGTGACAGGGTCCATGGAAAGGATTTCACTTTTCATTTTCGGACTGCAAAAACTTCGAGCTGATTCGAGTTTCGGGCATTCCCAGTGTCGATGTCTTTGGCTGTCAACTTGATCACAAAAAGGACAAGTGGTGTCGCCATTTTGCACCATGTGCTCTTGGTGATCTGCTGTGAAAAAACTGCCATTTAAACATTTTTTGAGAATGCCTAAATCACTTGGCATGTTGGGCAAAGCCATGGTAGTGAGCTGAGGGCTCGTGTGACAAAACCCTGCGAAGGTTTTGCGATTTTTATTCATGGTCAAAATGCGAAACTGCCAAGCCCTAGTGACTTTGGCTCGAAGCTCCTGAATGCATGTGTCCCAAAGGCACACCGGGTCCCCAAGTTCATCTCTGAGTGTGTTCCCATCCCAATGCCACAAAAGATCATGCAAACGATTCAAAAGTACACTGCGAGGACCTACTTTCGGACGAACCGTGTTGATATTCGAGGTGATATGGCTGAAGAGGGCATGACTTTCATCTTTGGGAAGAAACATCCGAGAATCACAAATCGTTTTCCATGTTGCATAGAAACCAGGATCACACTTGATAGGCAAGATGAGCGAAAGGTGAATGCTCGGTGACACCCCCACCCCATGTTCTTGCAACCCGCGCATGGCACCCGTGCGAAGTTCATCCATGTATGCAGGACTCAAATGAACCGAGCTTACCCCGTGCAGGACGTTCGGCCATGCAACACTTGCAACTGCATGAATCTTTTGTTTCAGCGGTGCTGGTGATCTGGCAAATTGCTTCCAACGATTTTTAAACTTGTGAATACGATTGACAATGACGGAATTTGTGGGCACTGCGGAATACTGAATATGACCTCCAAGGTCCCGCGCCCACATGGCAATGGGATACGGGGATTCAGAGAGGATTTTTCTGACTTCCGGGGTGGTGCCCCAGACAAATGTCTTTTCATTGTCAAGTTGGAGATCCAGGGCGCCAATGATGTTTTGCAAAGCATGCAACCCTTGGAGCGTCACACGTGGATCACTTGCGGTGATTTCCATGTTGTCTACATATGTCCAAAGATGTGCTTGAGGAATTTTATAAACAAGCCAATGGTCGATTAGAATGTTGATGCTCAACATCCCCATGACTGAGAGGGAGTCCCCTTCAGCACAGCCTGTTGTCGACCTACACGGCGGACTGACTGACCCCCGAATGGAAAACCTACGTTCCATTTGGTGCAGAGCTGAAGACCAGGCTTGAAGCATCGGGGCAGCTACTCCTAAGTGCGCACATACTTGAAAGATCGGCAGCCTTGGTAGGCCATTAAAACACTTGACGATATCGACCATGACCCCTGTCATGGGGGCGGATGTGCTTCTACTAGCTTCGATCTCCGCTTGGATGGCCAGCCATAGATCTATCGCACACTTACCTGGCACGTTGCCGTAACACTTGTTGGGGGCAAATTGCGAAAGGTGGACTAGTGCGGCTTTCGATCTTAGAGATGACCAAGTCCTATAGATGATCGAAAACACAGTGATGGGTCTATATTGCGATACCTTGCCAGCACCTGGAACTTTCTCCAAGCTACTTATGATGCCGGTGATCATGGAGAGTGGCCAGGGTGCACCCTGTTCCACTTGCTCCAAGATCTCGAGTAGAGCAATAGTGAGGTCTCTTGGCATTCGCATCAAATCCTCCCTTGCCCAGCTGTCGGGTCCTCTGGCGGACCGCTTTTTCTTATGGCGGAGGGCCTGGTACCAGGCTTCAGGAGTAATTTTGGGAAGGGCCATAGGGGCACCTTTTGCTACATGGTCGGTCAAGAATTCAACTAAAGGATCCCACTTATCGATCGGGACGTAAAGGTGTCTGTCCCACCGTTTTTGCCATTCGGACGAAAAAGCTGCAAACAGATCTTCAAGGGATCCTATGAACTGCGGCTGGTGCAAAAGATCACCTGTTTGAAAATCTGCCACATCCTCAACCCAAATTTTATCCGTGTCAGCCATGAGAACATTAGTACAAGCAGTGGAGGTGTAGACTGGTGCATTGCAGTCCAAGCTCTGAAGAGGTCTTTCCAGAGTAAGAGACATATCAGTTGGGTCTACTTCCACTATCTTGACCAAGGCACTATTATCAAGCAAAACAACGGGTGCACAAGGGGGAGAACGAACGTCCTGAAAAATCTTGTGAGGATTCAGCAATCGATTTTTTCGAGCGATCGAGCAAAATTTACCCATGAGAGCGACTTCGAGCTGTCGGACTTGTTCTGCGAAAGTCAATTTGATGGCCACCAACTGTGCCTGAGTCGGAACATCCATGGGCAAGCTCCGTGGCGCTGGCGACGCACGACTCTCAAGAGTTTTCCACCACTTAGGAAAACTACCAGGAAATCCCTGGGCCTTAAGGATGGATCTCCACTCTCGGTCTTTATGGATTTTAGCTGCGAGGGAACCTACATTGTCCCGCGCGATGGATTCAAGACGTCTGAGTTGCTTGAACCACTGGACATGTTGGGTGGTATGCCCTTCGAACTCGGGTGTTGCTTGACCGTGCCACCCTGGCTTGAGGGGCGGTCGGTGCGGCTGACATTTACGAGGTGCACTTGTGCGCGATCTGCCAAGTTGGCATGGCAGCAATCCCTGCTTTTTGTGCGCACGCATGGTCTGGTCTGTTCTCTTCTCGAACTCTGTTGCAATCTTCTGGATTTGGTCATCTGGCGTGTCTTGAGGCACAATGGAGAAAACACCATCTGGTATTTGTGGGCAGTTTTTCCATTCAATGGGTTTTGCATATCTCCAAACATAAACAGGTTCAGGCTTGCCTAGATTTGCGAATTCGGCCCACAAAACTGTGTGGTCTGGAAACAGTTCGCATGTGTTGATGCGACGCAAATGTGGAAGGAGCTCAGGACTTACCCACAGAAAATCTTTAGTCGTCGTACCTTTACAGGTTTTGGTGATGGGTCTCTGCCATTGATCGCACGCCCAGATTTGTACTTCCCGCCATCCAAGTTGCTGCAACCTATCTGTTTGGTGAAGGTCATGGCTTTCTTGATTCCAATCTCCGCAAAGGAACCTATACCCCTTAAGAGTGTGAACGATACGATGGATCATCAAGTCCAAAATGTCTGAAGTCAATTGACGACCTGCTTTGGTGTTTGCTTGATGAGCGTGACCATACAAAACTGCTCCATGTATCCACTGACCATTGACACAAAATGTGTTTGCAGTGAACCTGGCTTGCTGCCAGGCCTCGATTGGCCAAGTGGGTTGGAGAGCGCGAGTGGGGGCACTGGACAGGAAACCTGTGCCGACCTGTTTGCCCCCAATGGACGATGCAGTGAGCGATCTAAGAGGAGCAGGTGCTCCAGGTGCAAAATGGTAGAGGTTCTTACGGAACCTGAGGCTCTGCTTGAACTTCTCAATCCCCAGTTTGGACAAGTGTGTTTCACTTGCGCCCCATATCGTATTGGCAACTCTAGGAAGTTGTTCAATCAACTCAACCTTGTTGAGGATACCCCCAGGGTTAATGCATCCAAGGATCAAATCTGTGTCATTGCACGGACCGGGATTCTTGGCCTCCCCGATGCGATACAAAACTTGCAGAAACACATATTGAATCGAATTAAAGCTCAACGGATCAGGCTGGCAAAGTCACTCAGCACTCTTGTGCCGTTTACCAGCTCCCAGCAACTGTTCAATCCTCCCCATTTGCTGCTCCATTTTCGCATCTAACACCTTTGTCATGTGTTGATGCTGGTTCTCTACGGAGGTTTGCAATGCCTGAATCTGGCCTACGACACTATTGTTTTGCTGAGTCTGCTGCTGTTGAAAGGTGCTCAAATTGGAGGACAGGGCGTTCACATTTTCCTGCAATGACTGAACCTTCTGTTCGAGTTCAGCGACTCGGGTATCATGCTGAGTGCCCATGTCTGCATCTTCATCATGGCATGGAATTGGAACCTTGGCAATGACACTGGACATGACCTTCTGCTCGACCTTGGCCTCGAGTGCAGAGAGCTGCTGTTGCGACAACATCGCTGAGGTGGTGACTGGCTTCCTTTCCATCCACGGGTCATACGTCAACCAAGGGTCAGAATCATTTGACATGGCTGCTGGCTTCTGTGTGGAGCCACGGGTCATCATCATCACAGTTCTCTTAGAGGCCTCAATGCTCGGATTGTTGGTGTTCTGACGATCTCTGGCATTGGGAACAGACGATATGAGGACATCACCATGCTCCATGGTGAAGATGGTATGGGACGGATCATCATTGGAGACTGCAGACCAAAACACGGCGGTATGGTCTTTGGATTGTCCGAGTGGCTGTCCCGGCCTGGCTTGCCAATTCCATGATTTGAATGTTTTGGCAAGAGCATGCTTGGTCGTGCCGAAAGGCACCGGTCCTACACGAAACGTTTTCAACTGGGCTCCAGCGAGATATTCAATCTCCGGTCGGAACTGTTCATGGATGGCTTGAGCAGACTGCAATTCTGACCTGAGGCCAAACCGGTCGCCTGAGCGGGCTACCCATGACTGCTTGACACTGGTTTGCTGCGCAATCTGTACATCTGCAAAGCTCTTCTTTGGAAGCCACGTCATGGCAAAACCTGGGTGTGGCTGGCGACCATTATCTGTTCTGGGTTCGATGTACAAACCATCAACAGCATTCAGATTCAAGACTTCGTTGGCGTGCGTGGAGGGGATCCTAATGGTAACCAAAAAGACCTCAGCTTCGTTTGGCTTTGTGCGGACAAAACGTTTGCTCAGGTATTGGCGGTCCCAAACATCCAAGACTTCTCGGCCGAATGGTGCCAGACCATCGGATGCCAAAATCAGTTTCACTGGGCTCTTGGCAATGTCAGTCCACACACATTTGGTCTGATCTCGATACAAAGCAATCCTCAAGACGGTTGTTTCAACTTGGTCAATCTTGTTGCACTGTTGTGGAAGTTGTCTTTGTACACGTTTGGCTCCAATCTGGTACATTGCGGCCGAAACCAGCATGGATTCACCTGAACTGGCACACACAGCTGGGAATTTAATCGGCTGTGCATGATTGGGTAACCTCGAATCGGCATAATTAATGACCAGAATGGCAAGGCCTTCTGAGCTGATAGCATCTCCCCGGGTGACATACGGCAGGGCTTCATCAACTGATGCTACTATGATACCTTGTCCATTTGCGTTGATCTGATGGAGTTGGATCTGGTCAAGGTGGACTCCATCTTCTTGCTGAAAAACCGACGAAGGGATCTGGACCTGGGACGGATCTAGGAGCACTGGTTGGTTGGCAGGCGTCTGCTTCTGCTTATTGCTTTTCCTACCAATCGGACGGCCGGCTGCAATCCGACGATCAATCAATGCCTGTTGTTCCGAACTTAGGACTATCTGAATGGCTGGACTTGCTTGCGAAGCGCGTGCTTTCAGGTCTTGCCAGGGCTTGGTCGCCTGGAAAGTCTGCTGGATAGCTTTGATGCCAAGTTTATCGATCAAATGAGCGGCACATGCTGCACTGCGATCAGTGGTTACTCCATGAGTTTCAATTAGTTCCTGCAACTGCTTTTTGATGCTACCATCACTTGCCATTCCTGCCAACCACAGGTCAGGGAACATATCTGTGTTGAGATCATTGTTGAGGACATGTCTCGCAAAAAGTTCACGCCACTGAATTGCTTCGACTGAGGGCATGGATCGGACCGAACCTTCATTGGATGCTCTGGCAATAATCCATGCGACTGCTTGGAAAAAAAGAACAACGGAGAAGTTGAGGGACCTCTGGACCTCTACAGCAAATCAGAGAATGTCGGTGCCGGTTCGGGATTGGTGCATTCGTCGAAAGAAAAGGTACTGTAAGAGGGTTCGAGTGAAGAAAATTCAAGCGGTGTGGGGTATATCCCAAAATACTTCAAAGTGGGGTGAAGAAGTGTGAAGAATATCGTGGTTCCATTAAGACTAAAATTCTATAGCTGGATGGTTTTCCCCAGCATGGGGAGAGGCCGATCTGCCGCTAAGGGGAGTGTGCTTGGAGCCTTGCTGCATCCTCTGCATGCGATCGATTTGGGCCCTGAGATGCACGTCGAGGGCCTGCGGTGAACAATACGAGAACAGTCGGGTGCGTGCGCAAAGCGTGCGGGTGTCGGGTGCAGGGTATGGTGCAACAGACATCAAGGGATTGAAACATGACAATTTGAACTTAGTGATGATAATTTAAGTGATATTTCTTGGAAGTATCAGGATTCCTGTAGATGACAAATCCGAACACTGGCAAGACCCAGTTGAGAGCGGTTGGGCTTCTTGAGAAGCAAAAAGACCTTCCAAGCAGAGCCACCCACCGATGTCTTGCTCTAATTTAATATAGTGTTCGAGTGTTGGGGTGGCTTTGGACCAGTGCATGATGATGATGGTGATGGTGGTGGTGGTGGTGGTGATGATGATGATCACCACAGCCATCACCCCTTCTTACCTTCCCCAATCTGATGAAAGCGACGTTTTGACGAAGGATGGGGCAAATGAGGGATTCCTTTGGCTCTTGTGAAGTCTCCATCACTGAGGAAGGTGCCTTGAGCCTTTGCCAAGTTCAAGGAAGACGGAATTTCCTGAGATGCTTTGCTCTGCAGGCCCTCGAAGTCGCGTTGCTGCCCTCCGTGCCCTCTTAGCTTTCAGCATTACGCTATATGCCTATAGGAAGGCATCTTCGGCTGCTCCGACAGCACCTGCGGCGAAGGCCGCGGCGAACGCAGGTGCCAGAGCACTTGCACCTCCGGCTACCGCTCCTGCTACCCCAGCGACGCGGCCTGCTGACAACGCCGCTACGCCGCCGACATCACCTGCACCTGCTTTTGCTTTCCGGCCGCTACACTGTTTGCTGTGTGAGAAGAGTTCGTAAAGAATCACACGGCGCTTATGCAAAAATGCAACTTGCCTGCTGACTTGTTTCTTTTTGAAGCCCGCGTTGTGACCCTGTACATGCTAGAAAAACACTTTTCACCAAACCTGTATGACATTCGACTGCAGCTTGAAAAACAGTTCTGGCACTCGGACAAAGTCATAGGTGGCAAAGAGTTCAGGATTTGTTTGAGGATTAAACTTGCATGCGGTAAAGGAGAAAGATGCAAAGGGGCGGTGGCAGGTCTTTTGCCGTGGCGCCACTTGCATTTTGCAGCTTAGTGGCTTGAAGAAGACTTCAACGGCACAGGCGATAGGGCAAGAACTTAGGCCATCGCCAAACAAAAAACTACACCGAAGACGTGAGTTACAGTCGTTAGCGGCCTGATCAGGAGCAGACACTATTTCGGATGAGCTATATTGAGAACCAGTGTAGAACCTGACTGAAGCAGCGGGCTTGTTTTGGATCACTGGTCCCGCTATGCACGTGCCTCTGACAGCCAGCTGCGCATTGTTGAACCGTGTTGAAACCGGGTCACGCCCCAACAGTTCACTGTTGGCTTTCTCAATGCTTTTCGCCTCAGTCTGTCCACCTTCTAGCCACTCGTTAGTAGCAATTTTATACGTTTGTCTCCCAGGCTGGTGTCCGCCTTCTGAGGCGGGTGGCGGGCCGATATGGCTCCGCGTGTATCTATAGGCATAGTTGAAATTTTCCCTGTCGCTACTGGGAAAATGAACTCATCTCGAGGCCCGTACCCAGCGCTCAGCGATCTGGTTCATCGCAGTGTATTCCTGCGGACGCCCAGCGCTCCCCGCCCAATCGTTCTGCGTTCTCGTGCGCGCCTCTTTGCGGAGGCGCTTTCCCCTGAGGGCGGCGTCATGCCACGGGCCTCCGAGACTGACTCGCGAGAAAAAACACGAAGCCACACAAAACATCACATTTGTTGTTAGGGTTGCTGGTGACCGTTCTGAAGCCTGGGGTTCTCACCCCAACGACACTGACTGCGCCGAACTGCTCCCGACAGCTCTTTTGTCGAGCGTAACTCGCCTGTTTGCGGAGGCGCTCTTTGGCGAGCTTTTCCTCCAAGGCAGCTTATGCTTGCGCACAAGCGGTATTCTGCGCCACCCTCTGTGGCCCCGGTCCTTCCAGCCTCTGGTGGGTCCGGGTCGTCTCGCGCAGCGCTCCGTGCGTCGCGGCGCTTTTTGTTTCTTTGCGCCTTTTGCAGCGACAGGGTAACATTTTTTCGCGCGCGCTGCTATACTTTTTGTCTCCCAGTCTGGGCTGATGTGTCTGTCTGTTCTGCTAGCAAATCTATACAGTCTGGGCTGGTGTGCGCCTTCTGGCAATAGTGGCAATTCTGCGCATTTGTCTCCCAGTTCTGACAACTCCTTAGTAGCAACTCAATACTGGCGTGTCCGCCTTCTGGCAACTCCTCAGTAGCAATTCTATATATTTGTCTCCCTGTCGGCTTTCTGGCACCTCCTTTGTAGGAATTCTATGCATTCGTCTCCCAGTCTGAGCTGGTGTGTTTGCCTTCCGGCAACTCCTTAGTAGCAATTCTTTTCGCGCTTACCAGTCCGGGCAATTGTGTCCGCCTTCTGGCAACTCCTATAGTAGCAGCGCTTTACATGTGTTTCCCAGTCTGGCGTAGTCCGCCTCCTGGGTGTGCAGCGCGTTGGCACAGCGCTGAGTGAGGACTTGATGTGTAAGCTTGCAAAAGGAAAGGACAGGAAAGGAAAGGAAAGGAAAAGGAAAAGAAGAAAAGAAAAGAACAGAAAAGAACAGAAAAGAAAAGAAAGAAAGAAATACATGCAGAAAGAAAGCAAAGAAAGAAAGACAAAAAGAAGGAAAGAAAGGAAAGAGCGGAGAGAACAGAAAGAAAGGACAGAAAGGAAAGGGAAAAACACGTATGATGATGATGATGA